GATCGCACCGCCCCCGGGGCCGGTACCGGGGGATGAGTGGGAGTGGTGCTTGCGGCGCCGGTCCCTGCGGGTGGGGCCGGGGGATGGAGCCCCTCGGCAGGAGAGCGGCTCTGCTGTCACTCTCTCAGGTGGCAATGCCCAGCCGGGTCACCAGGGCAGCACCGCTCACTCCCGTGCGGGCTCAGGCGGTGACAGCACGGCCTGTGACAGCGGGGCTGGTGTGGCTGGGACTACCCAGCACCGGGCTACCGGGGCGAGTCGGCCGGGTAGCTCCCGACTAACAGGCCCAACAGAAACAGAGAGTAGTACTGGCTCAGATGAATCATCCGGAGAGGAGAGCCAAGAAACAACTACCAGGCGAAAAAGGGGAAAAGTTGCAACAAGAGCCATAAGAGAATGGAGTCCCATAGCTAAGAGAACGAGAGCCAAACAACAGCAGGGAGAACCTGAGGTTTTACAAGCCTGTCTAAGACAGGCCCTCGGTKACCARGGGCCTGTATACATAAAGGTTCCATACTCTCTTATGGAGTTAGAACAGTGGAAARCCACTGTTGGGAAGTATAAAGARAACCCMGATAAGGTTGCTAACTTAGTACATAGAGCAGTTACYACACAAAACCCTGACTGGACTGACTTAAATGCAATGATGGACACRTTACTAGAYCCCACRGAAAGAGRAATGGTTCAYAAGGCTATCATAAATTCTGTAGAGTCACAAATAGCAAGTGGAACACTTCAAGGCACCACTGCCGAAATCTTCCCAATGACTGATCCAGGCTGGAAYCCAAATATCCCAGACCAAATGGATAGRCTAAAACGATACCAGAGACTCATAGTGTACGGGCTAAGACATGGTGTTCCYAAAGCTGTAAATTGGTCTAAATTACATAACATAAAGCAGGGGTCAGATGAATCCCCCACTGACTTTCTAGAAAGGTTAAGAGATGCTGCGATTAAATACACAAACATTGATCCTGAGTCARCTGAGGGAAAAATTCATTTGTCTTAYCTATTTATAGGTCAGGCTACCAGTGATATAAGGAGAAAACTRCAGAAGTTAGAAGGGGTRCCAGACATGAGTAAGTTGTTAAACGTAGCCTGGAAAGCATTTCGAGACAGGGATTCTAATAACAWGGATAAACATTCCAGCAAGAGAGGTAGCCAAGAAAAMCTATCWATGARTACTTCTTTACGTTGGGACAAAGACCAATGTGCSTTTYGTAAGAAAAAGGGACATTGGAAAARGGATTGTCCCATGCTGGAAAAGAGATCCTCAGCTCCCCAMATGGYTGTGGAACAGAAATCAGAATCAAAATCAGAATGACGGGGACCAAAGGCTTCTCCTCCTGTGGAGCCTTTGGTTGTAGCTAAGCTGRGAAAAGACAATGTTGAATTTCTGGTGGATATTGGAGCAGTGYATTCTGTGTTAAATTCTTTAGAAAGGAAACTGRGTCAAAGTACTGTAAGAGCTTYCAGTGTCACAGGGGTGAGAGACATGAGACCCCTCTTCCAATCTTTGAAATATAAATTGGGAAAACCCTGGGTAATTTATCAGTTTCTCTATTTGCCAAACTCTCCTAAGRAGAATMTATTAGAWTTTTTCAAGAGAAGAAYAGCTGATAGTTCAAGATGGTTTACTGAACTAAATTTTAAAAATCTCTTCTCCTACATCCCTGTGAATAAGAAGCACCAARGACTCTTTACAGATAAGTGGAAAAAYCCTGAAACAGAGAGAAGGGATCAGCTCATCAAGACTGTCCTAAGAGTTTAAAGAACAGCGCAGCTATATTCAGAAATCAGCTGGCAGAGAAACTAGGGAAATGGAAAAGGCAGCAACCAAGAAATGCTGCATTTAACAGCTGGATCCGGCTCGCTGTAAATTTGCTCTGTGAACTCCGATGACAGGTACCTCATGCCACGTTACCAGAACAGGATAATGCTATTTGGAAAACATTTGCTGTCAATCCTGGCACGTCTCTGTTCCCGACACTAACTGATAATATATCTGAGTGTGATTGTTTGCAGACCGTGGAAGAAACCTATTCCAGCAGACCAGACCTGAAGGATGTGCCACCACAAGATCCTGATTGGGAGCTATATGCAGACAACAACAGCTTCAGGCAAGATGGCAAACAGGTAGCAGGTCATGCAGTGACAACCGCCAACCAGGTAAACAAAGCAAAAGCTTTGCTATCAGATGTATCATCACAGAGAGCTGAACTGATTACATCAATGAAAAATCCAGAACTGAGCAAAGTCATCAAGAAGGAAATTGGTCTGTCAAAGTGTGCTCCAAAATATGATCAGAAAGATCATCAGTTTTCTGGCACAAAGGCTGAAACCAAAGAAAGTGAATGGACTATTACATTAGAAAGACAAACTGTAATCCCACCACAGCGAGAGCATGAGGACACACAGAGAAACAAAGAACCCTATGAAATTTCTGGAAAGGGTAGTAATAGAAAAGGAAGTGACTGATATTGTGCAGTTTATAACAGTAAAGGTGAAATCTGCATAAGAATAACCCAAACATGAACAAAATAGTTGTGTTTGAAACAACAAAGACAGAGGACTTTTCCTGGAGATTATTGGCAAATAGATTCTGCTGAGTTACCACGTAAAAGGATACAGGTATGTACTGGTRTTGGATTGACACTTTTAGTGCATGGTCTGAGCCTTACCCCTGTCACACTAACACAGCAAGGCAGATGGTGGAAGTTTTACTTAACCATACAATTCCAAGGTTTGGGGTTCCTTTGGGGTTGGTCCCCCAGTGATTGGGAAAGTTAGTCAAACGTGGAGAATTATTTGATATTTGGAAATTCCCTAGTTATCCCAGACAAGTGATAAAGCTAAATGCATGAATGTAACCCTCAAAGAAAAGCTTGATTTGCGGAGATATCTAATAGTTTTAAGTTCCACTTTGCAGAAGCTTCAGGATTACATTGTGTTATCCAGACCCATAGGACTGGACATGCCTGCACATCCCTTCCAACTTGGAGACTGGGTCTATGTTAAGTGGTGGGACAGTGATCCTTTACAAGCCAAGTGGAGAGGACCATTCCAAGTCCTGCTGACAACCCTCACTGCAGTCAAAGTTACTGACAAAGGACCCTGGATTCACCACTCCTGAGTTAAGAAGGCTTCTGCTCCTGAAACAACTGGAAAAACAGACACTGATGCAAGCAGGGATGTAGTTTAAAACAAGGGTTTGTGTGCTTGTTATCTATGCAGCTGGTAACCATGGTACAGGAGTGGAACCAAAATTTGTATATGATCCTAGTCCAAAATATGTATCTAAATTTCAAATTTTCATATTAGACAACATTCAAAATACATTACTCATGAGTTTTGAGTATATCTTACACACTCACATCATGGTTACCAAACTGACCTAGACTAAAGAACAGTTCATAGTAACTGTAATCCTAATTCTGTTTATTATTGTTAAATATACATTGTTGTTAGATACATACTATCAGTAGATATTTAGAATAGAGACCTGACAAGGTAGAGGCTTTGTCAGGCCTTTAAAGGGGGGAAATGATGCCTTAGGATTTTTAGTTTCTATATTTTCATGCATCTGTATTCTGCTGTTCTCTAGTACAACACTAAAACTACCATTCTCCCATCTTTAGACAAAACAATCCTTCTCTGAGCCTGAATCCAAGGACACCTCACTGCCTCAGAGCCCCAAAATATGTAAACTACAGCAAGATGGGGAGGGAGCAAGTTTGGGGTGGCTGACATCATGACCTGAAGATCACTGGAGAATTAAGACTCAGTATGTTAATAAGGTAGAACTTATAAAAGGTGAAGATCTCGTGACTCGGTGTCCATTTTGKGTGTAGYCTCAGGAGGAGGCTTTTGTCTGCCCTAATGTACCAGGGTGCCTGTTAGGCCTGTATTAAAGTTGTCTATTCTCATTCTCTTGAGTTTGTCTGGCCTCTGTTTCAGATTAGCCTGATTGATAAGGCATCAACAGCACAAAGAGGCAATGCTTTTTATTAACACCCACATTTACACAAGATTCATTTTGAACCYTAGCACTGACAGCATGAGTTCAGAACAGTTCCTCAAAGCCTCATTTCCAGGTTAAGAATTATGTGCTGCTGCTGAAACCCTTTCTGTTCTCAGGCTGTGTGTACATCTGATAGCAGTTATCCCAGAGAGGAGGCATTAACCTCACCTTTGCAGATTTGGGTGGCTGCAAAGAAGGTTAGAAATTCACTACTACATCTTACTCAGGCTAAAGCTTMTATGCTTCACAATGGCTAGAAAGACAGCAGTTAAATCCTCACCAACACAAATCTGCACAAAGTGTCCTTCCAGAAGAGAGAACCCTTTGTGAGGWGCACAAGGCTCCAAGGGTACTATAATTATTTAACAAAGGTGCTTGGGAGCAGGACAGAGGCTGACCACACCATGGATGAGGGGATACACAGCTGCATGTAAATGGAGGAAAACATGTACACCACATAAAGGAGGCTCTMGTGGGCTTTAACTTGACCATCAGCAGCATCCTCAGTCCAATACTTCTGAGGTGGAACTACACCCAGCTTAATGCCTAAAATCTTTAACATTTTGGGTTTGAAAAACATTAAACATCCTTCCCCTACCTGGTGTTTCTTCTCCCACATGTACAGTAACGTCACATATTCTACACATTGAACAGAACAAAGTTTGGAATCAAACACTGAGTGGATCCTGTTGATCAAGACGTGATGATGGCTGTCATCCATGGCATAGAAATGATTGAAATCCAAGAAGATTACTTCTGTGGGGTGTTGCTCAAGAAAACTATTCATCTCCTTCAGYCCATCCCATACTTTGATGCCAAACAAGCCATGTATGAAGTAAGTCTCTTGTCCTAKTTCCCCAGGCTTGGAAGATACACGAAGATCAAAGTAGCGGATCCCACCTTCCAACTGCTCTTTGAAAGTCAGATTTTGAGTCACTGACCATTTCTTCATGATCTTTCTAACCAAGGAAATTCTGGACAAACGTTTGATGGCTGTTGCTTGGTCTGGTCCCACAGGAGATTTCTCATCAACCCAGTAGCTGAATGAATCATGYGATCCTAAGAAAAAAGCCAAGAAAAATTAATTTTAGAAAAAGCTACTCTCCCAAAACACATATGCCCATGTGCCCTGAAAACTGAACAAAGTCCTTATAGCATGGTTGCAAAAGAGTTGTGCTCAAGTGTGAGTCTTTCAGATGGTCCTTTACACCTTACTGTTCCCTGACAGTATAACATAAGAGTTATGCACAAGGTTCACAAGACTTTCTTGCATAAGCTCTCAATTTCAAGGCTCTCTGAAAGCTACAAAACGAACACTTGAAGGGAAGGGAAACTTTCCTCCAACCTTCACTTACAAACTACAGATCAACTCCCAAAGCTTTCCCACAGCCTGGTACATGACACATCTAGGATAAGACTCCAGCTTAATTTTAAGAATCTGAGACTTTAATTCTACCTCGTAAATCCAATCATGACCTAATACACCAGAGGTTTTGGAACAGGTATCTTTACTGATATAGTGGACTGAAGGATCTGCACATACCTTACCAGCACATCTTACTTTAGCCCTAAGATGGCAAATAAATYTGTAGTAGTTTGAACAGTGGGCAATGACTGGCTGGACTTAGAGATGGRACCATTGAATACACGACCAGTTAGAGTGTGGATAGATACCAAGCTCAYGTTAAACAAGCTCATGAACTTGTCTTACCTGACATACTTTTGACTGACCAAAGGTATGGTGAACAGAAAATTCATCAAAAAAATACAACCAACAATCAAAATCACCGGTCCCTGCCAAATAATGCATATCCRAAGAATCTCCTGTTACACAATCTGTACCTTGGCAGAGAATATTAATCTCCAGTATAAAGTTTTCATTTATTAGAAAAAACCTCCGACTGAAAATTCAGTACTAAATGGGAAAAAAACCCTGAGAAATAACAAAACTCCAAGATAAAAGCATGAGTCAATGAAATATTCCTACCTTAGCCAAGTCAGTAACAGAAGAAAGAGTGAGAAGGCAGTGCACTGTACCAGAACTAGCAGAAGCTGACCCACCACAGACTGGGGTTAAACAGAGATTTCTAGTAATTTCCACCAGGCACCAGCAATCTAGCCAAGAAGCTGCAGCTGCTCCAGGCTTACCTTCCTTGTGACCCTCCACCCAGCAAAAACACTACAGGACTCTTAACAGCCCTGAATCCCTTTGTCTGCAGGACAGTTGAAGAGAGTTTGCCCACTGAACCAAACCCCAGCTGTTCCCTGTGGGCCCACTTGCTGAAGTGCAGAGAAAGCATCTTYACCCAAACAGATCTTTTTCCAGCTGCCCTGGGGTACAATGACCCTGCACCATTCTGGCACCTCTGTCTTACATTCTTGCATGCTTGTCCCTGCCTCTAGACTATGCTTTTCTAAAGTCTGCAACTCTTTAAAATTCTAATTTGTCATATTCAATCTTAAGATAACATCTGAGGCATTCACAGCCTCCTKTATCCAAACCTTTTGTGTACCAGGGCTCACTTGAACACGGATGCATTTCCCATAATGCAAGATCAGAGCTACAAACAAGATTATGATCTCAAAAAATGGCATTTTTAGTCCAGACAAAAGAACACACTGTGCATAAACTAAACATCACTTCTCTACAACCTTAAAAGCATTGTTTCTATGGATTTCAACTAGTGCAAAAGCACTGAAAAGTGTGGTTAGTTTTCAAGCTTTACAAATGAACACTAAAACTAATTCTGTCCAACTCTCCATTAATTCTTCACAGCTTTTTTAAAAGTGGGCCTGTTATGGCTTTCTATTCAGTCTTCTAGACAGAAGTGTGAAGTACCAAAGATGCCAGTTTAAGCAGCTTTTTAGTACCTGTCCCACTAAACTACATCACAAAGTGGCTGTCAGTTGTGGAGTGACACCTAGATTTTTTTTCCCCCATCTTTAAACATGCAACCCCAAACAAAATCCAGGAACAAACATCTAGTGAAGAYATTTCAGAAGCCATATGATACTTCAAACTGTTGTTTACAGACATTTGAGTTTCATATACCTCCCTGTACAGCAGAACGAGTCTGTTAAACTTCTATAATATTTGGAGAGTAGATTTCAATCACAAGGGGCTTGTCTTCTACCTTGGAATTAGTCACTTTGCACAAAGAAATTTTTTGTTTTGGGTTGGGTCTTTTGGGGGTTTTTTTCCCAATTCTTAATTCTATCAATTTTTATTCCTTCTTCTGTTTAGGTCACTATAAAAGATGGTTGAACATTGTAGAATAATGTAATAGTTAAAATGAAAATATTTCTTAAGACAGAGCAGCACTCTTGAGACCTGTCTATAGGAGTCACTTGCACCATCATGCTCCTTCAGACTAGTAAATCTGACTTACAAGGAAATGAGAATTTTATCTGGCTGAAAATATATTGTTGTCACCTCAGAGTGGTCTAAGTGAATCTGAACCAAGAAGCAACAAATTTTCCTGATTCTGACCACTTATTTTACAGCTACAAAAAAAAATAAAAAAAAAAAAATGCAGTTTGCCACAGACAAGGCACTTTTAGGGATACAAAGAGCAGATTTTCTTCCTGTCACAAACCAAATCCTATTTATAGCCTAGCACTAGTGAGCAACATCAAAGAAAACAAGCCAGCMCCTTGCATCGTTCTCAACACATAGGTTAAAAATTGCACTCTTTAACAGCCAACTGAACTATGTGTGACATRYRTCTATAGTTAGAGATCCTATTAAYTCCTGCCTCATGGCTCTGCTAAAARCMMAGGAAATGGAGCTTCTCTTACAACRAARTCAACATGTATACCTAGATACAAGCAAGTAGAACATGCGTTGGAGCATCTGCAAAACATATCCTCCTTTTCACCATTGGTAGCATATAACTTTCTAAGGAGGGTAGGGGAGCATCACCAATTCCACTGATCATTCTATACCAAGGCTGGAAAGAGAGCAGAAGTTCAGTGAGGTCTTCAGTGGTCATTTCAAAAGACCAGTCATTAATATCTAGGCCAAACCTGGACCCACAATGATGCCTTAACAATTTTTAGCTTCTATTCTTCATGTATCTGTAGCTTTGGTGTGTAGTTCTAGGCTTCAGAAAATGCTAAAAACCTCTGTTTCCAGCGTTTTAGGCAAAACATTGCTCTCAATTGGAAAATCCAAGGACACTTRGCTGTCTCAGAGCCCAACAATACGCAAACAACAGTGAACTGGGGGGAGCAAGCTTGGGGTGATTGACATCATCACCTGAAGGTGTCATTGGAGAATTGGGGCCCAATATGTTAATAAAACAGAACTTATAAAAGGGGAAGATCTTGTGACTCGGCATCCATTTTGGGTGTAGCCTCATGAGTAGGCTCTGTCTGCCCTGAATGCACCTGTAGGCCTCCATTAAGTTGTCTGCTTTTTATTCTCCTACCTTGGTCTGGCCTCTGTTTCAGGCAAGCCCTATTTTAGGCATCAACAGTATTTTGACTCTGGTAAGAGGAAAAAAAAAAAAAAACAAACCTGAAACTSTGAAGCAACAGCACTGGATTCTTGTGGGGCTGTGGGGTAAGAGCAAGGTGAAGACCTACATCATCCACCAGGCCCTTCTTTAATTTAAGATCACTGTGATATGCTACCAGCTCAGGCACTGCATTTTAATATAGCTTAGCTGTGATGTTAAGTACATGCTAAGCTGATTGCTTCATGTCAAAATAATCCCTACTCTCCTTCACTCTGTCCCTAAACTCCAACAGTCTTGCCATTCTGCAGCTGTGGCAGGAGTCAAGCTGGTTGCTGTTATGTGTGATACAGCATGATTTCTYTTTGCAAAAGCATAACCTCAACTGACCCAAGTCTGTAAAACTTCAAAGGCAAAGGGCAGAACCTACACAGAAGAATGGAGCAGACCAGCCCTGTTGTGACAGGAGCTCAGTGGAAGAGTTGCTACGTACATTCATGATTCATGTTTAACACAAGGATGTGTGAAGGTATTCGGACACCACACAGTGACAGCAACAAGGCTGGCAGTTCCAGGACAGAGCAAGCACCACTTAACTCTCAAAGCAACATACACTGTAAAGTCTTTTCCACAGGTAAAAAAATCCTTGCGGTCTGTGCTCCCCACCACTAATAACATGCATTGCCTCCAATTATGCCAAGTACTTTTCTTGGGAAAAATATTGAAGCAAGACATTTCAGATGATAATTAACATCCTTAATATAAATAACACCTTATTCAATAAAGCTGTTCCTCAAACTGTTGATTGTGAACAAAGCAAAACTGGCAAAACTAGGTATTCATAACCTGCACTTCACACACTGAGAAGTCAAAAGGCAGAGAAAAGACAAGAAACTTTGTTGTCCTTTAGGTAAAAAGAGGCCAGAACCCCAGCCTGAACGGCCTCAAAAGCATATTCTTGCATGTGCAGGGCACCGATTTACTGTAGATGAGACTGGATTAGTATTCAGACTAAAAAACTTACTGAGCTGTTCCAGTGACACAGCAYTGGTCTGGTGCTCAGCCCTTCCCAAAACCCAGTCAGGCAAAGGAAATACAACAGAGATGGTGATTTGACAATTGCTTCCAACTGGGTGAAGATGTGCAGCACRAAGCAGCAAGCATTAAATTTAATCATTGAAGAGACTGCGCATTTAAAGACAAAAATTAGGGGATTGCTAATCAGCTGGCAGCTCTTACAGACAGCAGCTGTTCTATTTCAGTTTGATTTCTTTCATCTGACAAAGAGTGACAGCTTCAAGAAAAGCAGTCACATGCCATCAAATGCCCAGATATTTAACTATCAAAGGCTATGTTATARTCAGAATAGTATTATATAGGTATCTTCCAGATACCAGACTTAAAATGATGCATAGAYCTCTTAATTTTATCTCAGTAATTGCAACTGTGGATTAAATTTCATTAATATCTTTAAACATMTTTTTATTCTGCTTATACTAATTTCTTAAGTTAATTGCATGTTAAACAGCTTGCTTTTCAATTCAATTTATATGTTAATAGATTGTATTTCACTGTTGACGATTAATTTTGCTGAAGCCCTTG